TAGATGCAAGCTTCCTGTAAAAATGAATAGAAATTTAAAAACTTCCAACATCCAAAGGCACAAGATAAACATGGTCATTCCAGATAGGTGGATAGAAAGCAATGAAACCAAAGCAAGTCCAAAACCAGCAGGGCAAACACTAAATTCTATAGTTCTCTCTTTTCAAAGCAAAGTCCTTCACCTTTGCAACTTTGAGGCTACAGAGGGTGGAGTCCTACTGGCTCTTGTAACATCCTCAGACCATCTTTTCTATTCCCCTCTTCTGAAACACTTGGCTTTATTCTTGTTAGTATTTTGGGAACTAGTGTCTCCTCTGTTCTGCCTCTGCAGGCCACAACTTCATGGGAGATTTCTTTTTGGTTAAACTAAAAAATTTTAACATTCTGCTGGGACCAACCTTTCCTCTTGATCCTCAACATAGATTTGGCAAAAAGCCCTCAACATTATCCATGCCACCACCTCAACATTAGACTGACTTGAAATTTCTTCCACCAGATTAATTAGTCTGCCACCATTAATGTCAGCCTCAGGAAAGGTCTCTGGAAAAGAGCAAAATTCAGATAAATTTTCTGTCAAAGCGTAACACACATTTTGGAGTGCAATAGCTAATGCAGTCCTCATTCCTAGCTGAAACTTCCTGAACCTGGTCTTTACCAGCTATACTTCTATCAGTATTCTGGTCTTCTGAGCTCTGACAAGAATCTTTCCTTAAATTCAGCTTACAGCATTCTAGGATGGCTCCTTCAGCCAGCCTCTCCAAACCTTGCCAAACTCTTCCCACAAACCAGTTCCAAAGGCTTCTCAACCACATGGTCAGATAATGTCACAACAATTACCCTGCTCCTGGTATCAAAATCTGTCACAGTTACTTTTTTATTTCTGAGAGAAAATAACCAACACCCACAAGTTAAAAGAGGAAAGAGCTATTTCAGCTCACAGTTTGTAGAGGTTTCAATCCATAGTTGGCTGGTTCTAAAGCAGAATGGAGTGGCCGATTGGCATCACAGAATAGACAGGAGGCAGCAGCAGAGAAGCAGCAGCAGCAGCAGCAGGAGCAAGCCTGCCCACCCTCTCTCCTTTTATAGTCCATACAAGTTTGTAAGCCTACTAATTTGTGTCACCCACACTCACAGCTGGGCTTCCATTATCTACCCCTTAATCGCAGTATCACACCCTTAATGCAGTCCATGACCCAGTTCCAAAAATTTCAACCCAAATTTTCAGCCTTATCTCTTACTGGTCACCTTTATATAGTCTGTTCTTTAGCCAGGCCAGAATGCCTACTATCCCTTAAACGTGTACTAGTTTCTATGCCCTTACATTTTGCTGTCTCTAAAAAGTTTCTCTCACTTTATAATTTCATCTATGCTGCCTGTCAAAATCCTGTCCTCCCTCAAACTTGAATCAAAACTCTCCACGAAATCTTTTCTATTCTCAGTGATAAGGAATGCCAATAACACTCTTCACATACCGCTCTTTTGGTACTTGTGACATTTTACTTTGACTTGTAGAAGTAATGAATTATAGTGGATTTGGAGACAGATAATTTAAGGTTGTATCTGAGTTTTCTCATTTATTATTTCTATATGATTTTGGTGCAAATCACTTAGTTTTTTTATCTTTAATTTTCTCTGACATTAAATAAAAGTGGAGCACACTTCCATATAACTTTCAGGGATATAATATTTATTCGTTTACATAGTTTATAAATTAGTGTAGTATATTTCACCCTCCTATCAAATTTCCTATATATGAGGAGTATGCTTCATTCATTTGTGTGTGTGGGTAACCCTCACAATATTATTATACCTGTTATTTCTTATCTCCATTATTGCCCTGGGCTCACTACTCCTCAGTCTTCTCCAAACTGGTTTACATCTTGCTGTCAGATTAATATTTTTAAAGCTCTGCTCTGAACAGTTTTGGCTGTTTAGGGTTTTGCATACAGCAAGTACAGTGTTTGTTTGATTACTATTTTAACCTAATAAATTGCACTGAAAGAAACTGTCAAATTACCTGAAGTTGTATCCTATATAAACAGTAATCTTTTTAGTGCAATCTTTCCTTTTGTCCACTTAAAATTTTTTCTTGATTCAATTCCATTCTTCAGTTCTAATACTACAAACTCACACTGTTTATACTCATGTACTATTCCCCTCAATATTTATCATGCAGGTCAGCTAAAATTTCTATCAATTTTATTTTCAGGTTTTTGGTGAACAAAGTTGTTTGAGTCTAGAAATCTCTGTGAAGTTCTAGGAGCTCCCCAGACAATTTTATAGTGGTATGACTTTGTGAACTTAGATCTCATCATTCTTCTATTGCAAACAAAGCAACCCAGGTACACACACACATACACACATACACACACTCACAACAAACTTGAAGACACTCAAACAAAGAAGAAAAAACTTTTTGCAAATCAGATTTTCTATGAAAGAAGTGATTGCTCTTTTTGGTCTGAGATCTCAACCAAATAGGGTAAACCAGGTATCTAAAACTGAATATGGTATATACACAATTACACTTGTGGTATAATCTGACCTGCTTTTTGGCCATTTAAGATGACTGCCCAACTGGATTGCTATTCTTCATTTCTCTCTTTGGCTCCTTTTAATGTTATTGGTGCAAGTCGTACAGGTAGCACTACTCTGACCGAAGGAGAAGGTAAAATGATAAAGACCCAGGAAATTTCTAAAGTTCCAGGCTATAGCACATGCATGTTTGATTTCATGGCCTGACCTTCAGTAACATTTTCCCCACTCAAACCTTGTTAAAGATTCATACATATGGACTGGGTCTCATACATGCAATTTAATCAAAATGAACTCTGGGACAGGCATGCCCATTGAAAGTTCCTGAGATGACTCAGTCATTCCTGTCAATCCTACCTAGAGACCCAGTGAGAGGCACCTGGCCTGGTGTGCACATTTTGTAAAATCTAACAGCCTGATTTACCTGTGAGCCATGTTTCTTATTTTTCCTTGTTGTCCTGATACCACTTTTCTGTTTGTGCCACATTTTTGTTTTCATTGGCATGGACCTGCCCTAAACACATCTTCCCCTTACCTTTGACAAATGTAGCTGATTTTCCTTTTAACACTGGATGTACATTTGCACTTCTTTGCTTGTCATACAGAAGAGCCTGGAATCTATCTTTCTGATCTACCATATGTTATCACAAGTGCCTGAGCCTGGAACTATTTAGCACTTAGGAATTTGGTACATAGGAAAAGAGAATGTTGAAAGATATAGACATAGTGAGTAGACAATAGTTTAGAGAATGTAGACTAGAATGGAAGGTATAAAAGAAAATCACTAGTGTTTTGGAACTGTATTAATGAAGAATCAAGCTAAGAAACTCAACATCCTATGCCTGGTCTGTAGAGGGGACTGGAGATGCATTACTTCCCCAGTGAGAAAAAAAACCCATTTAGGCTAATCAAGAGGGAGCATAGGATTGAGGAGTGATGCAATCGCCTTCTTGGAAGAGTCTGGCTGAACGTGGGGCCATTTTTGGAAACTGTGGGTGATGCATTGAGAATGCAGACTGCTTGGACAAAGAACTATGTAAAACCTCCTAACCCTCTTGAGTTTTATCAGAGAAGAAACCAGAGGGCAAAGGAAAACCTAGCCAGTAATACACGAGCTCCTGCTCACCATGATACAAAAGCATGTCCACAGTACGCAGAAGCAAATCTGTCTGATTCCTTGGGGACTTCCTGCATTTAGATAGATGCATAGATCATCTCAAATGCTTTTATAGAGTTCTGTTCCATCTGGAGTTAAGGGAGAATATTCCACAAGAAGAAAAATGCAACGGAGAAGATACCAAGTGTTGTGTTGAACTAAAGAAGCTATGAGGAAGTAGCTCAGAAAGAAATAGAAAACAATTTGCTTACAAAGCACAATGTCTTACCATTGCCTCTGAGCCTTCCAAATTTGGGAAATTTGTAGCTGGAGGATAGGTTCTGGTTTGTGATTCCATCATTCTCCCAGTTGTGCATTCTGAGGAAGAAGGTGGTAGCAGACTGGGTAATCTAATTCCAAGGTGCAACTGTGTCCAGTGTCCCGCCCCCCATCTCTGTCTCTGTCTCTGTCTCTGTCTCTCTCTGTCTCTGTCTCTGTCTCTCTCTGTCTCTCTGTCTCTCTGTCTCTCTCTCTCTCTCTCTCACACACACACACACATTTATCTTTGGTAGAAGGCATTCCTCTTTAGTCTTCTTTTTTTTTTTTTTGTTTTTCTCCGGTACCGGGAACCGAACTCACGACCTTGCACTTGCCAGGCAGGCGCTTTTGCCGCTGTGCTAAATCCCCAGCCCCCCTCTTTAGTCTTCTCTCTTTGGTTCAATGGGATTTCTTTCTTTTTTTCTTTTTTTAGTTAGTTTCATTGGTACATTTTAAATATATGTACTGATCACATTCATCATAGGGAATTTGTACCTGTACATAACATACCTTGATTTTTCTTTCTTCCCCAATCCCCTCCCTTCAACTTTTCTTTACCTCTGTATTTACAAAAGCTTTGTTTCTGCTTTTTCCCTTACATTCCCTTTTCTTCTTTTCCCTTCTTTCCTCTTCCCCTTCACTTGCTCCCCTTCTTATTTGAATATTTTCTTCCCATTTCCCAGTATCTATTATACATTTTGGTCCTTTGCATTGTTTCTCCATTGTGGGAGATGGGGCTTTCTTCCTTTCCACACACTTGCTCTTTTTTTTTCACTGCTGTTTTTGGCAGGTGAATTCATCTAAATGAAGGTAAACACATTACTGATAACTTGACAAGGCCTAAGAAGATCAGCCTTCTGTCTTCAGAAGGCCAAATGATGGTAATCCAGTTCACTTAATTCTTGGTCAAAGTTAAAGCAAATGAATCTGGAACAGACCAATTATCTTTTCAAAGAAACCCTTTTTGTCTCATTGACCCAGGCTGTCTGCTTAAGCCTAGCACCTCCTGTCGGGCAGGGCTATGTTACATAATTATACTTTCTTACAGCTTCTTGTCCGCAACATTTTAATGAACTAAATGAGGTATCAGTCTTCAGAGACCAGTGATGTATTATTGTTCATCAGAAGAGCTGATAGAGAAGGTCAGTAATACCATCCCTACTGTAGCAATATTCCAATGTGACACCTTCCAGAGCAATTCAAGATAGTGACCGGTGGAAGGGGCTTGAATTTGGGCAAAAATGTGAATTTTAACTACCCCTGAGTTTAAAACAAGACAAGACTCTCTGTACTCAGCTTTCTTTAAACCTTTAAGAGGCTGTGAACCTCAGTCTCTGGTCTTGAGAGCCTGAGGGGCATGCAAACCTCCCTTGGCCATCGCATACCTACACAGTTAACTAGAAGTACACATGGGTTCAGTTATTGGAATTGAAAACAGACCTGAACAAAGAGATAGCTGCACTGTGTCCCAATACCTCCATGTCCAACAAGCTATCAGCAGGCTGTGTGGAATGCAAAGGTCTCCCAGCAACCCCTGCTCATCACTGCCTAGTGATTTAATTCGAGAGCCCGGATCATAAATTGGACTTGATGTCAAACAGCAGCCAAGCCTGAGAATCCGCCTGGGTGTGCTGGGCTTGCTGCAGGCTGACTAGCAGGCATGCTGTCACGTCTGGGTCATCTGCTGTCAGTGGACAGTTCCCTGTGGGAGGTCCAGGTTGCGAGCAATGCAAAAGTCTAGACAGGAGGTGACAGACATGGTGACCTTTGGGATGAGATTGATCTCTATGTTTTTTGACAGGAAGCCTTTCCAGAATGCAGCCTCAGGAGGAACAGTCTAGAAGCCTCATCATCTGTGAGTGGAATTAAACCTGTGTATCTGCTCCACCCTGACTGGAATGCCAAAGGGAGTTTCTTGAAGTTGTATTTTTAGAGCTAAAGGGGGATGTTTATTTGCCTCATCAGTGTTTCTGAAATGTTTGCTTTGGGCTTCAAGAGTGGGAAGGAAAGTGAAGGGAAGAAAGAGGAGGGGAAGTAGCTTGCTTTTATGGAGTGTTAGCTTTGAGGCCAGCCCTAGGAAAGGTGCCTTCCCACATATGAGTGCATTGAAAACATATGCAGTGTATGAAGTCTGCATCGCCGCCTTCACATTAAACAGGAAAATTAGAGGCTAGCAGATGATCACACCTTACCCAAAACCATGTAGCAAGTAATTTCTAAGCTTGTTTATCTCACTATGTCATGACCCTTTCCCAGGGTCTATTTCTTCTGCCAAAATGAAGATGACTTCAGTCCTCCTGGAACTCTGGGGGTTATACAAATGTTAAAATAATTTAAAAATAGACTTCTGTCTCTTCAAAAATCATGCAACTATGTAAAATTTTTGTAGCCATGGATGGTAGTCATCTAGTTACTCTTGAAGGAGAATAGACTGTTCAGCAAAGGAGGTGAAATTGGAATTTATCTAGACTGATGTATGCTCAACTATATCCCATGGGTCACTCATCACTAGACATTCTTTACACAAAAATGATTGGGGAATTTGTCAAAAAAAAAAAAAAAACAAAAAACCCTGCTTCATGAAATGCCACATAATTGGATTTACATTTTGCTGAAACTCAAATTTATCAAACTTAATGGATCATGGTTTCTCCTGATACAAAACTGATAAAAACATTGCTTGGATCTAATGTTCTGTGGACCACAATTTTCAAGCACTTGTTTACCTTTTAGTGGTAGTATCAGTTCCCTGGATCTAGACTCATAAGCTTTATCCACTTCAGGCACAGGAATAGCCACTTGCTGTGGCTGTGACTTTGGCCTATTAGCAAATGCAGGGGCAATCTCAAATAGCGTGAGGATCACTTGAATACCTTTTGGAAGATGGTGAAGATATTTCAAATCTTATAAGAAAAAAAAAAACTAAGGCTGGATATACAGTCTTCTAAGTAGTATGTTATATTATTAACCTCTAAGATCAAAACTTTTGTGCAGACCAGTCTTTAGTAATGTATGATTATCAAGCACAAATACTCCAAATCCCAAGACCATTTACTTTCTATGGATAAGATAAAAAAATAATCCAAACCCAAATGTTCTTGAGATATCTGGAAAAGGCTAAACGTATCTCTTCTCTTCTAACCTTTGTCACTGCTTTTATTTCCCTTGGATTCTCTTTCTCTCTCTTCCGTCTTTCTCTCTCTTCCTTCTTTCTGTCTTATGTGCCTTCTCTCCACATTGACCACGGCCATATCCTCCTTACCTGAGGGCTTTGTGACTATGGGAACAGGGGTGCTAATAATATTACATAGAAAACTCTAGATCCAAAAGGCTTCATCTTCAAGCTGAACTTCATAGATACAATCGTCATCATCTTTAAAAGGGGTTTCCCCTGAGATTAACCAGGGTTTGGGGGTTAATAAAAACTTTCCTGGTTGGAACTGAATTTCTGCCATTATCACATCCTGTGGACTATGAAATAAAATTGGGCCATTCCTCCAGTTATTTATTTTAAATTTGTTCCTGTGTTTAATAACACACAAGAGATGTTTTCATTTGATTTTTAAAAATAATTATATTTATATAGAAAAAGAGGTTTTAAAGCTATGGGGAATTGTGTAAGCATATACACTACTTTGGTTGCCTCAAGCTATTTATTGATTTATTTTTCAATAATAAAACATTTCACAAGGATTGCTTGTTTAAAGGGAAACAATATGTTGTCTGAGAATTTTCTCTAAATGCATTGAGAGGCTTAAATTTTATTTTATTTGCTCTGATAAACAGAAAATCCAGCCTCCTAGACCTTCAGTTCAGCACTTAGAAGAGTAATTCCCTCCAAAGGGACCGTGGGACAGCTCAGTTCCTCCAGCAGGGAGCTTTGTGCTTGTGCCACTCAGGCACAGCTGGGCATTTTGGTCAGCATGGTAGAAGATCCCAGTTCGAAAATGTTTCACAAACAACCGGTAACAGTGTCTAGGGTAAGGAAATGAAGCATATTACCTACCTTTTGACTCCTTTCTCTACTCTGAAAGTATTTACCAGGCAGGGGAATAACAGCCTCGAAGTAAACTTGGAAGCCTCAAGGGAACGTACTTTTTCCCAACAAGGTTTTTACAGAACACTTGTCTTTGTCACTTTTTTGGTTGCTGACACAAAATATTCAGTGCCCAAGACATAAAGAAGAGGAAGTTTATTTTGGCTCATGGTCACAGTCCATGTCTGGCTGACTCCATGGCAGAAACGTCCCAGCAGAAGGATATAATGGAAGAAAAGCGTTTGTGTCATGGTGGCCAGGAGGCAGGGAGAGAAGGAAGGAGCTGGGGTGAGATTCACCATCCCAGGGAACATGCTCAGGGCCCTATGTGTAACCAGCCCCACCTCCTAACAGCAAGTCAGCTACAGCATCCTATAAGCAAGTCACCTTCCAAAGCCCCACCCACCCCTAAACACATCGGGTACATCTACATCTAAACTGGAATAATTTTCAAGTTGGTTGCTTGGTTTGCTTTGTCAAAGTAGGACCCTAGACTTCAGAAATAAGAGGTTGGTTCTGTTTGTCTTTTTCCCTTTGTCCTTTTACAGGTGTGTGTATGTGTGTGTGTGTGTGTGTGTGTGTGTGTGTGTGTGTGTGTGTATGTGTGTTATGGGATTTGTTTATTGAAGAATGCAAATTACTATGAAATGAAGCAATCATTTGGAGTGGCAAATAAAATTTATTTATTTATTTTTTAAATTTTTTTTGTACCAGGAATCGAACTTAGGACCTTGTGTTTGCCAGGTAGGCTCAGTTCTGCTGAGCTACGTCCCTGGCAACAAATGAACTGCCTTCAGCAGTAAATTTCAGATGATCCCAAGCTTTAGGCAGTTGAGATAAAGCACTTGTGTTTATGGTTTTAAGAAATAGAAAAAGAGGGATGTGCCGAAGAATGTGTTAGTGTATTTTCTAGAAAGTCTTGTCTCAGGGAAGAATGAATTCAACTCGTTTTCTTTTGCTTTAGAATTAGGATGTATTGATGGAGAGATGAAGCTGAAGAAGAAATGAGAAGAACAGCGAAGAGAGTTGTCAAGTGCAGCCTGCTGGGTTAAATCTAGGCTCCACCAGCTACTAAAGATGTAACTTTAAGCAAGTTTCTTAACTTCCTCCAGCTCAATTATCTTATTCCTAAACAGATTGAATAACACATATATCCAACCTTTCAGGTTTTAGGGGGGTTTGCCATACATAGGTATGACCCATATGCTCTCAGAGCTTTATTTTTGTCATTTTATTTTTATTACTAAATGCTTCTGATCCCTACCAATAGCTGAGGCAATGGTCTCTCTGGGCTGTGCTACATAGTGTCCCTTGATAGGTGAAGAAGGAGTTGGTATTTCCAACATGTAAATGGCCTATCCAATCAACTATTTGAACAATTTTTAATGACTAGTGATTGTGGGCCTACCTAGTACTGTGCTAGGAGGTGGGATATAGCAATGAAAATAGAAATAAAGAAATAGAAATATAGAAATAGAAATAAATGCTTCATCATGCTTACTGAGATGACCATCAATAAACACACAAAAAAGGTAATTTCATATGGTTCTAAAAGCTCTGAAGAAAATAAAACAGAAAAGTGGTCAGAGCACTGCACCTTACAGGAGATGGGCAGGAAAGGCCTCTCTGAAGATATGTTACTTAAGCCAAGACCTAAATTAGGAGTAGGCATGAATCCCATTTATCTATATACCTAATGTGCTTTAATAAGAAAAGATGTAAAATATAAGGATTTATAACATTTCTGGTGCTTCTCACTTCCAAATTTCTTTTGCAAAACTCCCTTATCTAATTTCTTCCTTCTTCCCACTTCACATTTTCTTTCCTACTTATTTGCCTCTTACTTTAGCAAGCAGCCCTTATAGACAAGGTACAGTTCACAGCGTCCCCAGTCATAGTGGTGGATGAACTGAGACACACGATAAAGTTTGTCACTGTCTGAGATGGAAACTAGGGCTAAGGATTTTAACAAGCTGTGTTGAAATCCAGGTTGGCCAGTTCGCTGGTCAGTCAATGATTAAAAAAACAATTTGGCAGAAATACATCCTGTATGCCACAAGTAAGTTATTTCCTTTCTTCCTGCTTGTCACTGCTATTCATGACATAGGTGACATCTTCCCTAGTCATTTTAAGGTGGTGACTTTACAGTCAGTGTCTACTGTTTCTTGATGTTTGAAACCAGACCTAGCTCAGGAAAACATCTCATGCTGAGGAAATTACTAAGGACTGCCCTCTTCTTATTTGCTAGTGACTCACTGACATGACTCTTCCCTTCCTGATCCCATGCATGGGGGACTTTGGAGTCTCAGTCCAGGCAGAACCTAACCCTGGCTGGGAAATGGGAGAAGGTAGTGAGTATGTTTGCAGAGTGGTGAGGCTGAGTTCCCAAACTGAGCATGAAAATAGCTCCTGTGTTTTCTAGTTACTCTTCTGCACATTGGTATCTTTAAAAGAACTTTCAAAGGAGAACTATTCTGCGGAGTCACATTAGTCACAAATTTCTCCTTTAGCACATCAGCTATATACATGAAAACAACCCCAAAATATGAGATGAAACTGTTTGCCTGTACCTTGCTCCCCATAACCTGGGCCTTTCTAGTAAAATAAGTGCTATTTTCTCATCTCTATACTTATCTGCCACACTTTTCAGGGGTGGACTTGCCCCAGTTCAATATTACTGTATTACTTTAAACCATTTCCCATACTAGGAAAAACAATAAACTCACAAAGCAGGTCTCAAGAGGAGGCAGAGGAACTAGAATCTCACTTAGCCAGTGTTTTTATCACTGCATAATGCAGGAAAATAGTTAGGTAATAAGGAGCTACCACATAAAACAAACCTAAAGAAATGATTAATATCTATAGGGCTTTTCTCTGTTGATGGACATAAAATCTTAAATAGACTAATTTCCTGACTTCAAAATCGTAATGAAAATGTTCATCACAAGCTTATTACAGAAGTTTCTTCCTTTTTAAGAGATGCAATAAAATAAGGTCACAAACATGAGCTAGAATCATTTGATATCTTTAAAAACTCTAATATTGAAATAATTTTTGAGTGTATTTTATATACAACATTGTTTAAATGTGTAAAAAGGGTCATATATGATAGAGTTAAGACAGCTTGGACATGGCCGAGCAGAATTAGTGATGATTTAACATAAGCTTAGGAAGGGTTCATTAGTTCATTGCTCATTCATCTATTGGTATGATGTGCTGATCAGATTCCCCCTTCAGGACTCAGACGCTGACTTCTCCAGCTGCCCTGAGAGTTGGCTACTGATGGTTCACAGCTGAGTGCTTCTTTAGGCGGATTTGCCCTGGCTGAAGGGAGCTGCCTTGCCCCAAATTATCTGCTCCCCAGGGAAACTCACTTGCAATGGCCCATGTGTGGAAAACCAAGGCCAGGCACTATGGGTCTGCACAGGGAGCATCTTGGAAGAGCCATCCAAGCTCACAGTTCAACTTGTTCCTCTATCAATTCTCCCCTTACTCAATTACATGTGTTTTTCTTGAGATATCTTCTGCAAACTTCCTGAACACAAACTTCTGCTTCAGAGTTTGGTACCCAGGAATAACAATTTAAGACATTAATCCAATAGTTTTAAGCACTCATCTTATGCTGAGTGAAGTTGTCCATACTGGTGTATTATACAGAAAGGGCCCTTGCTAGCAAAAGGCTTACCTGCTAGTAGAGGACAAGGAACCTGACAATAAACAGACAATACAAAGGAAATTCCAAAGGTCAGTAAACAAGATAATGTATTAGAGACAGTGTGTGTGTGTGTGTGTGTGTGTGTGTGTGTGCGCGTGCCTGTCTAGGGAAACCTAACTTCAAGAAAGACATCCAAGAAAGCCTTTCCTTGGAAGCTTGAATGGCAAGAAGGAGCTGGTCATGCAGACAGCCCAAGAAATTGTGCTCAAACAAGTGTAAAATGGTCTTTGGCAACCCACCTTATAACTAGCAATGAGGAGTAAAGAATGTATTCTAGGGAAGAGAGTTCTAAATGTAAAATAGTCTTTAACATAGACCCTGTGTAGCAAACTTCAACCTAAAGCTAATCAATCCTTTCATTGTTATCCCTTGTTTTGTGACTCGTGGCTTACAAGATCATTGGATTTTCCAAATTAAAATTCTGGTTTTATCCTCTATGAAAGCCATCTGGCTCCAATGTTCAGGGTAAAAGGAGCAGTTCTCTACCCAGAGATCTGTAGCTCTTCACCTGTGAAAGTTAGGAGGATCTTGGAAAAAGTGCTGTGTTTTATTCACTTCTACTTCCCACCAGTTCTAGCAAACAGTTGAAAAGCAGGCCCACCAGACAGCATCAGGAAGGAGACAATTTAAAAATATTAATTATATTTAATATTATAGAATGAATTGTTTATTATGTGATACCAACTTCAGTCTTTTTCCTTGTCCACTAAGTATTTCTGAATCTCATTATTCTGTAGTAGTGAATATAAACAGGATAATAAATGCCATTTCTAAATATAATAGATTTTAACTTTCTTAATTCAACATTCTCTGCCAGTGCATTAGCAATGTTTTTGCCTCTGGTTGAAAAGTTAGCTTTTTACTAGGTATCTTATAACCAGATTGCAGAGTAGTCATAGGGGGTTCTGAAGTCTCTGCCACATGAAAAATGATGGGATGATTAATATAGAGAACCAAGAAATGTCTCCAAGGGCTTTCATAAAGTATCAGAAAGTCTTTCTTGGAATGTTGCTACAGTTCTCTCATCTTCCATCAGAATTAGGACAAAGGGTTGGAATTTGCACCCATGCTGATGTTAGTTCAGTACGAAGCGAACTATGGTACAAAGCATAATATTCCAACAGTGGAGTTATTTGCCTCTTAGGTAGCGAGTTTGCTATTGCCTAAGATGTCCAAGCAGATTCCGGATTGCTGAAAAATTCTAAAGCATTCAAACCTACTGGCAATGTGGAGGAAATGCTTCTATATTAGCTGGTGATTTGAGTTAGATGGACTCCAAGGTTGAATTCATGCTGGGTATTTGTTGTTTCATGACATGAGATAAAGTCTGTGACCACAGTGACAAAACACCTATGTAGGAAGGCATTGAAATTTTAGGGGCTGTTTGTTACTGCAGCATCATGGACAGCATTTTGGTTGCTACAGAAATACAGTAGTTTTGCAATAACTAAGTGGAAGTGCGAGTCTCTTAATGATCATGAAAATTATAACTACAAAACAGCATTTTGTTCATGACTTCATATATATGACCTCATTTCTTCCCCATGGCCACTTGATGGGATATGTATTCTTAACATACATATTTTATTGTTGAGAAAACCAAGGCAGGGAGTTTGAGTGACTAGCGGAAGGGTACACAGCTGGAGAGGACTGTGAGAGTTTGACTTGGTTATGGCTGAGTCCAGAATCCATGCTTAGGCAAGTTGCTGTGTTGTCTTTCTTCTTCAACACTCTGACCCTAAAATGTCTCATCTGCAAAGTAAGATTAGAAACATCACTGCCACATCGCTTTTCTCCCCTTGATGCTGTTTTGAGGAAAGATCTGGGAGGAGAAAAGGCTTTCTGTTTGTGCCTGTGCTTCTAAAAGTAACAGAGGCTGGCTCTAAAAACATGTCCCAGGAGGTGGGAAGCAGTGGGATATTTAAATCAATATTGAGTTAGCCTTGTTGGACCTTTTGTGGCTCTACACAAAGCTAGGCTTCAGTGTGAGCTGAGAAAACACCTCGCATGTTACCATGGCCCTGGAAGTGCTGCAGTATGATGAAAGGACAGGACGAAAACCGGCCTCATGGCTCATTCAGAAAATGACCCTGAGAAAAATGGTGTGTTATTGGAGATGGCTGGACCTAAAAAAGAAGACACCAGAAAAACTCATCTACTCTGTGGTCTGAATGAAGCATGAGGTACCTGAGGAAAGCAGGCCAGAAAATCCAGCCAACAGCCTGTTTGGCTGTTTTATGAAATGCTAAGTAGATTGGAAAATGTCTTAACAAAGCACCAATGACTGTTGAAATCATTGGGCACAAGTTTTATTCAGATCATTTAGAGATCAGCTGTTCTGAAATAGCCTGAAAAAATATAACACATTTGAAATCTTCAAAGCCCCAAGGAGAGGATGGTGAGGACACTATCTTTTTTCCTAACAGCCCTATTTTTTAATAGCACCTTTCTTCACAAAAATGGCCATTTCTATGGTTTTCTTTTATAAAATTACTATGTCTACATGAAGTTTGATTTACCCATAGGATACTTGAATTGGTCCCCTCTCTCAGGAGCTTATAATACTTGTATGATTAATCCCATTTACCTGGGGCTTTTTGAAGCTTGCGTTATTAGATTGAGTCCAAAGTAAGCAAAATTACCCAGCTATCCAAACAGCATCGAGGCAAATGTATCCGTGTATGTGTGTGGCAGGGGGACAGAGCAAAATGGAGGAGAGAAAAAGAGAGTGAGAGCAGAAAGTATCAATAAAATGTCATTCATACTTTTATCACGCTGATTTTGACACCAGTATCTTCTGGGTTCACGCCCATTCTCCTTCTTTGTCAGGAAATGCCCGGATCACAAGGCAGTGAAAATAAATCAGAGAAATGGCTCAGGATAAAGGACACAGTGGAAAATTTTCAACTTTCTCCAGGTAGTAGCACAAGTAGTGGTGGTGGCTGTTGTTTTCATTATTTCTCTTCTTCTTCCTCTTCTTTACCCTCTGCTGTTATTATTATTTTAAAATCTGTGGTAAACTATGCATAAAATTATGACTGTGGGAGTCTACAGGATGGAATCACAGCACTCATGCTATGAAGCAGCGAGGGGACTTACAGGTGAGTTGATACTGAGCTACGTTCATTGTCATTCTGATAGCTTCATGGTGGGTCAGGTTTCCTAGTGCTCTTGTGCAAATCACCGGTTAGACAGCACAAGAGAAGGCCACAGCTGGGGATAAACTAACACAAGAATGGAAGGGAGCAGAGCCAGCATCCTTTCTGTGGAAGGGGCTGCTGATTGGGATTTACCCCCTTGGGACTCTATGATTGCAATCATAAATGTCAGAACCCGAACTGTGTTGTTTGGATTCTGTCAAATATTACCTGTAGGGCCTATTTTAATGCCCAATTTTATAAAGTGATAAAAAAAATGATATTTTGACAAAATGCTGTAGACAAGTATTATTCAATTAACTTCAGCAGGGGAGCACATATAAATCATCATTTTGGAGTAGACCAGTCTTATGAATGGCTACGAAAATGTCCTTACACTGTGTACTTCTTAGTATGCTCTTCTCCATGGAGGTCTTGGCTCCATATGATTTCTTGCTTTGTTCCTTGGTGTGAAGTTGATTTATGTTAGTCCATGTGACACAGATCACTTCCTTGACTTAAAACAGCTATACACATTCATTGCAGACAGTTCTTGGTTTCTGCCTTGATATTTTCTCAGTATTTGTTATTATTTTACATTAATCTTTTTTGTTTCATGCCTAGATCTTATCACAATCTTCTTAAATTGTTTGTGAAGTCTTTGCATTCTAAATTTTAGCCCTATGAGAGCAGGAACATGTTTCCTTCCTGTATACCACAACCTGGACACTTGCCTTGCAAGCCATAGGTACTCAGTAAATATATACTGAATAGATGGATATATTTGTGAAGAGTTAGTTATTTTTGTTTCAGTTTGAAACTTCACAAATATGTACAAATTAGGATTTCAGAGCATGCAGCATTCAACTAATTTTGTACCTTCAAATATCTTCTAAAAATATATTCTCTGAGCTCCTCTACCTATAGAAGAAATTTTTAACAAATTTCTGATTTTTGGTAGGAGGAAGATACTGTAACTTCTGAGTTGAGTACTTGTCTTGGTTACCTTTTTTTGTTGCCAAGACAAAATACCTGACATCCAAAATTAAGGAAGGAAAGATTTATTTAGTTCACAGTTTGTGGAGGTTTTAGTGCCTAATCACCTGGCTCCAAGGTAGAATGGCACATGGCAGAAGGCAACAGTTCATGGTTGTGGAAGTCAGCAAATGCAGCAAGAGCAAAAGGAAGGAGCAGCAGCAAGCAAGCCTCTTTCCTTCCCTTATATTGTATGCAGGCTACTCACCCCAGGGTGGGTGTAGCACTCACACCCGTAATCCCATTGGACCATGAGCCAGTCAAAAACTCTAGAAGCCCATCCCATGATTACATGAGGCTTTGTGGGGACATCTAGACATAAGCCATAACAGTACTCAAAAAAGAGCTTCCTGCTGCTTAGACTTGTGTCATCCTTCTCTGGCTACTTCCTGTACCACAACATAAATGTGTTGCCTGGGCTACACAATTAGACTCTTTCACTGACTCTCCAAAGGTTGATAGTTTACTCCTGTGCAGAGTACATTACAGGTCCAAGTTGTCTGCTTTGTCCCTAACCAGCATCTATAGAAGGTGGGCAAGTTATGACACTTCTTTGTGCCTCATTGTTCTCATATATGAAAAAGGTACAGTAATTGGAAAAATAATTAAGATTGGTGAGCCAGACTCTGTTCTAAGCATTTCACATGCAGTAGATATTAATGACAAATAACAATACCATGGAGTAGGAGCTGCTATTATCCTCATTTCCAGACAATTAAATAAAAGTGGAGCAAGGTTATCTGCTTCATCCAAGTCTTAAGGGCAGTAATGCCAATGAGGAAAGAGGCAGGAGAGGAGGATGTGGGAAATGGGGCAGTGTTCCTGGTCTCTGTTTCTAGTGCCACAGATAGAAGCAGAAATTTTTCATGCAGAAGCTCCAAATGGAAGGGAGTGCTGTCAGGAGGGGGAGTAGTTTCAATCTCTGAATCGATAGAGCTTCTGTTTTGTATCCACTGTGTACTTATTATAACCTCTATGTGCAATTGTAAGGTGTTTGAAATTCCAGCATGAAGATAGTGGCGGTAATTTCTGTAGGGGAGAGTTTGAGAAGATTTGTCACTTTAGCCAAAAGTGGAGAAATACATTTAAAGAGTTATAGGGTTCTTTCCATATATCTTAGGGGGAAAATGTCTAGATAATTCTATAAAACACATTGCTGAAAAGGTTGAGACCTGGCGACGACAAAGGCACAAACAAAGCAGATAGAATAAATTATTTCAAGACTTGAATTAAAAAATATAGGAATAAAGATGATAGTAGGTTCTTTTTTTATTTTAAAGATAAAAGGAGGGAAACATTAACAGACATTCAACATTTTACAACATATCACAAGCACAGTACAGACAATACAGAGTTA